GATTTTTGATCAGTGAATATTTGAGCTGTGGAGCAGCAAAATGTGACCTTTTTTGCCAAATTGTAAGATCGAAAAATAGCTTCCATTTGCACAAACAAAGTATGATTGGCACACAACCTTCATACGTTGTTCAACTCTAGGGTCTAGGTCATGTGAAAGTGAAATATTTGAAATTGGCCCATTAGCGCCCCCTCTAGACTGAGGCAAAGACCGGGGCGGGCAGTCGCGCGGTGCGGGGAGTCTATTTTTTTTATTTGACGGGTCAGGGGTAACCTGATAAAGAGTAGATTGGGTTTGGCCGGTCAAAACCCAACAGTTGTCACAATCATAAAATTACAAATTGAATTCTGATAACAAGAATAGATTTGATACTTGATCTGAGAAAAAGTTTTATAAATACAGTTTATTTTAGTGGTAAATCAAGGTTTTATACTTGTTCTGAAACCAAATGCTAAAATCTCATATTGAGAGCTTTTCTGAGATGCCATCCATCCATCCATCGTCTTCCCCATAATCCACTTCTGGGTCGGGGGGGTGGCAGTCAGAGCTGCACCGAGTACACATAGCACCAGCCCCTCACTGATCCTCCTGCAGGTGGTGAGTCAACAGGAGCCTTGATCTTTTTCAGCAGGGGCTTCAGGAAAAGTGGGGTTAAGTGTCTTGCCCAAGGAGACAACGGCAGCGCCATCAGTGGGCGTTGTGAAGTAGGTCTTCTTGTGAGCTCGAACCATAGACTGTATATACTGTATTAATGGACAGAGTCACGCCTATCTCCGCCGTTCATAGGAGTTGGCCATGAAAAGTGCTTTCATGGAGCAATCCAAGATGGCCGCGAGTGGTCCCGCCCACAAGAAAATTGTGAAAAAACGCATCTGCGCATGTGTCAGCCGGCGCAGCTCCATTCATTTGAACGAGAGACTTCAAAAATTCCCCGCGAGTAAACTAGAGTGGACCAAAAAAAATCACCCCCCTCAGCATTGACACACATGTGGAACGGAGCTTTGGGCCAAGAGCCAACTTTTGGTCCATTCTGTAAAGACGTTTTTGAGAGGTCTGCTAACGCTATATGTTAGCATTGGCTAATTCTTCTTCTGGGTCCACCACCATCGGCCCGGGGTGGTACTGCAAGCATGTCAGCGCACGTCATTTTGGCCACTTTTGAGCTGGGACCCTCCCCCACTGGCTCGAACCCACGACCTTCAGGCCCAAAGGCCAATGCTCCACTAACTGAGCCACTGCCGCCCTTTCTGAAATGTAGTATTTAATATCTGATAAATTTTTTTTTTGACTTTTCAATTGTGGGTTTCAGAGTAAAAAAACAGCATAATATTAGCAGTTTTACTTTGTCCAAAAATAATGACAAGATGCAATATTGAAAAGTCTGTATGCTTTATGTTCTTTGATGGAATTACTGTACTTTGGAAATAGGAGCATTCAAAGGTCACATCATGTTTGGCCCACTGCACATTGGATTCACTCTCTATTCAAGTAGCTCCAGAGTGGCTCTAAAATAAGGACTTGTACAGTGCATTAGTCAGGCATCATTTCCCATAAAAGTACTGTCACACCCACTGTATACAGAGAGGGGTGGTTACTGCAATGTGCATGAAGTTTTTCATCATTGGTAAACAACAACATACTGTTTTGTGTAACTTTTTGACTTTGAGATTTGACAATCAGTTGAAATCTATCATACAATCTGTGTGCCATGTATTGTAACACACAAACCTGTATTAGTGTAAAGATATGTGAAATTGTGTTCTGCAGGTTTGAAAAAATTCAAAGTAACTAACTAACCCCAAGAGCCCTTCCTTTCTGGGCATGGAACTGCAGTACATCAAAGGTAATGGCACACGTAATGATAAAAACAACAGTGCATTTGGAATGTGGTCATAGAGTCATGTTGCGTAACTCTTATAGGTTCTAATATTCAGAGTATTCATTCACATGTGAATGAATACTACCACTCTTTTAATACTTTATGATAACTGGACATGAATTAATACATTCATTAAACATGAATTATACATTCATTTACCACGGGTTCATTGTGAGCTCACTGATGATCCACATGTGTGCAATTCATACGGGTTTTCATCATGAGTATGCTAGCTATTCATGAGGAGTCCTTGTCTCCTCTGGTTTTACTAGGAGTCCTTGTTTCAGCCCGGCCAGACGCACAACCACAGTAAACCAGTTTCTGACCTTTGTCCTTGATGCACAGCTGTCATCACGGCCACTGTTTCTTTCTCTGCCAATCTGTGCATGTTATGCCCACAAACTCAAAAAGCCTCCATGGCTGCCAGACTCATTCCTCTGTCAGATCTATCCAATTCTGCTTCAATTTATAAATAACTGTATTTGTTCTATTGTTTTGTGAAATAAACATCTGCTTCAGGCAGTGTGTACTATTCACAATCTTAACTTATTATTTCCTGAAAATTACTATCAGCTCTACAGAATGTGTATAGATTAGGGATGTAATCTCCAACACTGAGGCCGATTCGATACCCATCTCGATACACTACCAGCGATTCGATACATTAACGATACACTGAAGTCCCTGTCGATACGATGCAATACGATTCGTTCCTATTCACGATACGATGCGATTCAAAGATGATTTAACAACGATATGACTGATTTGCAACGGGATTCGGTTTGACATGATGTGATCCTGTTCAATACAGTTAGTATGAGAGTTTATTAGCCCACATCAGGTTTCTTACCTCAAATTCTGCTTTACTCTATCAATATGAGGGATAATATTTAATATTTGGTTCTGGTCATTAGAATTTGTGAAGCGTCTTTGAGTTCTTGAAAAGCCCTATATAAAACCAATGTATTATTATTATTATTATTTTTATGGAGCAAACCAAGAAATCCTATTTGAAAAAAACATTATTGAGTATGTACAGAGTATTTACTTATTTGAATCCTTCATTCTCTAAAACGCTGTAGGGCTAACTGCTATAGCAGTAAATTTCTCCTGTGTGATAAATTATATCTTATCTTATCTTACCATAGCATCAGTTAAGGCCTGGGAGCGGGCAGAGTTAGCTGCTTGAGGCGTGTTTTGACCAAAGAAGTTTGTGATAGACCTACTGCTCGCGTCGCCAACTTTGCTGCTGCTCAGTGTGTCTGGTGCTTTGCTATAATCTAAAGGAGAGGAGGGGGTAACAGCCGCGGAGGCATCCACGCCGTACCGTCTTCTCAGATGCGTTGCCAGGTTTGTTGTGCTACCCACGTAGTTGATAGGCAGCGCCCGGCATTTCCGCACGCTTGACTTGTTTTTTTGGGGCCATCAAAAATCTCCTTGCCGTTTATGTTGTGAGCGTTCATGCATGTTTTGGACCCAAAGCTTACGTCAGAGCCCGAGGAAGCGATGGTGCATTCAGGTTGCCTCGGAAATATGACAGGGCAGTGAATAGAACAATCGATTTAACCATAGACTCTACCGATGCAGACAGACTGGAAGAGATGTACCGCAAATTCACACCTAAGTTATATCCGATGCGCCATGAATGTATCCGTGTAGTTGCATCGCAGACGTTTATATCGGACCACCGATGCGAATCAGTGAATCTTCACATCCCTAGTATAGAGCAAAGGAAGGTTTCTCACCCATCATCTGTACTTCTTAGCAAGTTTTCCCGACGTTTCGTCCTCAATCCTAAGGACTTCTTCAAGGAATGAATTCTCAGACCGCGCGTTGGAGATTTATAACCTATGGGTGTGGTTAGCCACAATAGCCTGATAATAACTCATAAAAAATCTAAGGTCTGTTTGATGTAGAAGGGAGCAGGTCTAACGACCCTGCTGAGGCTAACGACCCTAACTCAATAGCATGTCACAAGTTAGGGCGTTGTTTTTAGGATGTCGTCATAGATGCGAGGCAAAACAAATCTTAACCCTCCTCCTCTGTTAAGAGAAGGTTTTTGATTCCTCACATAAATGGCTTCTTTCACTCCTTTCTCAAATCAATTCTTCTCCCGAGCCAGAATTTTAACCTCGGTGTCATTCCCTGTACGACTGAGGGCTTACACAAACTTATCCCTAGTATAGATATTGGTAAAAATAACACACATTAATTCAACTACTTTCAAGTCAGTAGTTATGCAGCAGTGACAAGTTTAAAACTGTAAATGGTCTTTATCACCAAAAGAACGATAACAAGCACATTATAGGTTAGAGAACAGGAGGAATGAGTGCTACAGGGTCCAAAAAAGTAATTAAAATCAGGTGCTCTTCAGAAAGAAAACTGACATTGAAAAACAACAATAGACTTAAAAGCCACTGTCTTTCCAGGGCTAAATGATGATATTGACTTTTCAGTGTTTTTATAATGAGTGTCTATTTTTTCCAAAGGCCAAGGTATTCATTGAGGGGCCCCTCCAGTATAATGTGTGTTGGTGTACATTCGTGTATATGTGGCATCGGTCTATGTAGCATATACTGCAGTATCTTCATGTTTAAATATCCTCCCTTCATTCAATGAGGAATTTTTATTTTGTCATGTGACGAGTCCTGTGGACGTCATTGGTCTTTTCTAAACGCCTACATTTTATGTATCATCCAATAGTGGTTGCTCCTGTACGTCATGTGTCCAGTACGTCATGAGTCTATTTTAAACCTGTCAGTTAAGTATGTTTTTTACACTGCCCTGAAGAAGGCCCTGCGTGGCTGAAACGCGTTGGTCCCTTCTCAAATAAAGGACTTTTATCAGAGTGCCTCAGACATTATAGGTTAGGTTGATAATTGTGAAAATAGTTCAATCACAATATTTGCGCTCACAATAACCGTAACTCAAACTGTTACTCCATCCCTACAGGACATTTGTCCCTAAAGCATACATTTTGGCCATGGAAAGAATTGACTGAATTCTAAATAAACTTATTAGTCATAAATAAGCCGAAAAGTTATGTCCTGCAGCGCACATTGTAAAGCTCACTCCCTTTTACCATGAGAAAAACGGTGTAATGAATACTGAGAAGTCTTACTTTCTCTGTGCCTCAGGTGCGCTGTCCGAAGCCCTCACAGTGAGTGTGTAGGACCTCCCCACCACAAGGTTGACTCCTGGGGCGATGGAGATGCGGCCGCTGCGATTATTGATGATGAAGTCGCCCTGAGCCCCCAACACAATCTCATAGGTCACCAAGCCGTTCAGCCCCTCGTCTGCATCCGTCGCACTCAGCTGGTAAAAACAGAGCAGAGGTGACATGGTAAAGAGGTGAAATTCATGTTTTGAAGGTTCATAGATGCTTGAAATTGCACCCCATTGTAGCATTTATACATAGGGTGAGAGAGTTTCACAGCTCAAAAAAAAAGTACAATAGCCCCAAATGTGGCTGTTCAGAAGCCATGCCTTTTCCCTGTGAACATTGCCAAGAGCTCAAGCTGCCAGGTGTGGTGGTGTTTCTTTCATGCCAATATGTAAAAGAGTATAGCCATGAGAACATGCATATTGATGAAAACGTGTATGGATATTTTCAATCTCAGCCACTGCATAAAGCAGTATACAGTTGCGGAGGAGCACTTGGCACAGGCCAGGACTCTACGAGTACAGCCCATTCAGCAAAGTACACACTCCCTGTTCTGAGATCTGATTGACTGCTGGATTCAGATTCAGATTCAGATTCATTTTATTTGCCATTTGCAGTAAAAAAAAAAACACATTGGAATACATTAGCAAAAAGTCTCCAGTGTGCACAGACAAATACAGACATAAAACAACATTAAAAGACAAAAATAAAAACAAATAAAACTGTAAACAAATGTCACTGTGAAATCCATCGACTAGAACAGTTTCAAAACATGTGCAAATCGTTAAAGGGCTCTGTTCAACCTGATAACAGCTTGTGGATAAAAACTCAGAATCAGAATCATTTTTATTGCCACGTAAGTAACAGGAAGTCACAGACTTGGAAATTGCTTTGGCTCAGTGCAACAGTTACAGTTACTATTTACAATATACAAGTGCACATGGTGCACACAATGTAAGGTGTCAGCGGTACAGTGAAGTGAAGTGACGTATGATGGGCAGTAAAGTGACTTATAAAGGGCGCGGGGACAGGTTAAGAAGTGTTCAAGAGTCCAACAGCAGAGGGGAAGAAACTTTTCTTGTGGCGGGAGGTTCTAGTCCTGATGGACCGCAGCCTCCTGCCTGAGGGGAGTGGTTGGAATAGTCCATGTGCAGGGTGAGAGGGGTCGGCTGTGATACGACCAGCCCGGCCTCGAGCTCGGGCGACGTACAGGTCCTGCAGCGATGGAAGGCTGCGGCCAATCACTTCCTCTGCAGAACGCACAATGTGCTGTAGTCTCTGTTTGTCCCTGACTGTGGCTCCAGCGAACCACACGGTGATGGAGGAGGTGAGGATGGACTCGATGATGGCCGTGTAGAACTGCACCAACATCTGTGCAGGCAGCTTGGCTTTCCTGAGCTGCCGCAGGAAGTACATCCTCTGCTGGGCCTTCTTGATGAGGGAGCTGATGGTCGGCTCCCACTTGAGGTCCTGGGTGATGGTGGTGCCCAGGAAACGGAAGGACTCCACAGAGGTGATGGGGGAGTCCATCATGGAGGGTGGGGGCGGGGGGACAGTGCTCTTCCTGAAGTCCACAATCATCTCCACTGTCTTCTGGGCGTTCAGCTCCAGGTTGTTACCACTGCACCAGGACACCAGCCGGTCCACCTCCCTCCTGTAGGCGGACTCATTGTTGTTGGAGATGAGTCCAATGAGGGTGGTGTCGTCCGCGAACTTGATCAGCTTCACGGAGTCGTGGCTGGAGGTGCAGTGGTTGGTGTACAGGAAGAAGAGCAGGGGAGAAAGAACACAGCCCTGTGGGGCTCCTGTATTTATAATCCGACAGTCCGAGAAATTCTTCCCCAGACGCACTCGCTGCTTCCTGTCCGTCAGGAAGTCAGTGATCCACCTGCAGGTGGAATCGGGCACGTTGAGCTGGGAGAGCTTGTCCTGGAGCAGGGATGGCAGGATTGTGTTGAAGGCAGAGCTGAAGTCCACGAACAGGACCCTGGCGTGTCAGGGGCAGCATCAAAGCGACTGAATAAAAAGTTCAGTTCGTCAGCTAGCTTGTGGTCGTCAGCACAGGGGGGGGCTTTGGGCTTGTAGTTGGTGATCTCCCGTATAGGCCCCTCCAAACAGAAGCAGTATTGTTGTTACCAAACTGCTCCTGTAGTCGTTCTCTGTGCCGGAACTTGGGTTTTTTCAGTTCTTTCCTGAACTGATATTTAGCTGCTTTGTAGCTGCTGCGGTCCCCCTCCCTGAAGGCAGACTCTTTTGCTTTTCTGAGCTGCCGGAGTTTAGCAGTGAGCCAGGGTTTGTCGTTGTTATAGATGACCCTGGTCCTTGTTGGAATGATGCTATCCTCGCAGAAGTGAATGTATGACGTCACAGTGTCCGTGTATTCATCCAAACTGTCTGTGGCAGCTCTGAAAAGGTTCCAGTCTGTAGATTCCATGCATGCGCGCAGCTCTTCCACAGCTTCATCAGACCACACTTTGGAGCTCCTCACTGCAGGTTTCGAGAGCTTTAGTCTCTGTCTGTAAGCAGGGATCAGATGTATTATGGAGTGATCTGAGAAGTCGAGGGCTGCCTTGGGAACAGCGCGAAAAGCGCCGCACACGGTGGTGTAACAGTGATCCAGAGTGTTCTCCTCTCTGGTCGGGCATTTGATAAACTGTCTGTATTTGGGTAATTCCTGGCTCAAGTTTCCCTTATTAAAATCCTCCAGGATAATAATCAGAGTCCGGGTATAAACGTTCCATACAGGGTACTTGCTCTGCGAGTGCGCGCTGAGCCTCGCGCGCGTCCGCGCATGGCGGTATGTAAACAGAGGCAAGAATGAATTAAACAAATTCACGAGGGGAGTAAAATGGTTTACAATGAATGAAAAGATATTCCAGAGCAGGAGTACAGTGCTTGGAGATCACTGTCACATCGTTACACCAGTTTGTATTGACGTAGAAACACAGCCCACCGCCTCTGCTCTTCCCTGAGAGCGCACAATGGCGATCCGCGCGGAACAGCCCAAAACCCTGCAGCTCCAGAGCGCAGTCCGGGATCCGCTCATTTAGCCAGGTCTCAGTGAAGCAGAGGACACAGGATGTGGCGAAGTCCTTGTTTCTTCTCATGAGCAGGCTGAGGTCGTCCATCTTATTGCCCAGTGAGCGTACGTTGGAGAGAAAAATGCCGGGGAGAGCCGTGCGCGCTCCTCTCCTCCTCAGACGCACGAGCAGGCCTCCGCGCTTTCCCCTTTTACGGGCCCACACTTTTTTGGCTAGAACATGAAATAAATCAGCCGCAGATGCCAAGAAAACAGGCAATAGGTCCATGGGAACGGTGGGTCGGATGTTCATAAGTTCCTCATGGGTGTAGGAACAGCCAGATGCACAGTTAAAAAGTAAAAACAAAAGAAAAAGAGAGCAGCAAAGAGCCGTGTCGACAGTACGAGGCGCCATCTTTCTTTATCTTTCTTAACTGTTAGCGTAACGAGATGTCCTGCATCTCAGAGAGCGATATCTTCTGCCAGAGGGAAGAAGCTGGAACATGGCTTTCCCAGGGTGGCCAGAAGAGTCATTGACAATCCTAAAAGCTTTGTTTAAAAGTCTGGATTTATAAAGAACCTCCAGAACAGGAAGCTCACAGCCCACGGTCCTCTTTGCAGAGCGGAGCACCTTGTTTAACGCTCTCTTTTCTTTATCTGTGATGTTACCAAACCACACAGACACAGAACCAACAAGTAAACTCTCAATGGTGCAGCAATAAAAGTTAATCAGAATCTTAGAGTTAGTGGGAAATTCTCAAAGTTTACGCAGAAAGTAGAGACGCTGACGAGCTTTCTTAACGACTCGGTCAGTGTTTTTGACCCATTTCAGGTCGTTAGACAGAGTTAAACCCAGAAACTTGCACTCCTCTACGATCTGTACCTGGGAGTTGTCGATTACGACAGGCAAATGAGAACTATTGCGACTGAAGTCGTAGACCAGTTCACATGTGTTCGATACGTTCAACTGGAGGTTGTTAGTTTTACTCCACTGAACCACATTTTGTATCTCTGCTCTTTAAGAGGATTCATCATTGTCACTGATGAGACCGATGATGGAGGTGTCATCAGCATATTTGATGATCAAGTTTGAGTCAGAGGAGGACACACAATCGTGAGTGTACAAAGTAAAAAGCAAAGAACTCAAAATACATCCCTGAGGAGAACCAGTGCTCACAGAAACAACATCAGAAAAACAGTCATTGATTTTCACTCTCTGAGATCTGTCAGTTAAAAAGCTAAAAATCCATTTACACATGGCAACACTTAAACCGAGAGACATGAGCTTTTCAATCAGTTTACCTGGGACAAGGCAGTTAAAAGCAGAGCTATAATCGATGAAAAGCATTTTCGCGACAGATTTACTAGTGTCCAAGTGACTGTAGACAGAGTTCAGAGCAAAGGAGAGGGCATCCTCCACACTCCTGTTCTGTCTGTGAGCAAACTGGAGCGGGTCAACACTCACAGGGATCTGGCTCTTAATGAAGTCCAGCACAAGCCGCTCAAAAGTTTTCATAAGAACAGACGTGAGGGCCACAGGACGATAGTCATTCAGGCATGTCACAGGAGTTTTCTTAAGAACTGGAATGATGGTCGACTCTTTAAAGCAGTTCGGCACAGTACAGTTTCTTAGCGACAGGTTGAAAATGTCTGTTAGCACAGGGGCAAGTTGCTCAGAGCACAGTTTCAGGACACGAGGAGGGATGCCGTCCGGGCCTGGGGCTTTCCGGACTGTGGTCCTGGACAAGACACGCCGGACTTCCTCCTGAGTCACGGTGAAGGCAACTTGATTGAAACACTCAGAGAATACAGTAGGACAGGCATCAGCGGATTCAAAGCGACAGTAGAACGTGTTCAGTTCGTTTGGCAGAGCTTGGCCGACAGATGCAATTTTCCCAGCACTAGGTTTCCACGATGTGATGGCTTTAATACCGTTCCACAAGCGCCGAGGGTCATCTTCCTCAAAATAACTCTTTAACCTGTCCCCCTAACTGCGCTTTGCAGATTTAATAAAACGTTTCAATGAGTAACAGGATTGCTTATAAGCAACTGTATCATTTGATTGAAACGCCAAAGATTCCAAGCTCTTTACGGGAGCCCTTTGTCCCTGGCGCTTACATACTACACTCGGTG